GCACAATATGGACTACCTATAGTATGAGATCGTAAAACCACTTAACTCTTCCAATCGATTCTAATTTAATTGCTGTGGGCAAATACTGTGGTCACTGTGGACCTCAAAGTCTGACAGCTGGGGCAGCTCATGACAGTGCTTGAACTGTGGGGAAGCCTGTGTGTTGGTATTAAGAATTGTACAAGTAACTGTGTATTCCAAATTGTACAGTATTTAAAAACATTGTAATAAAAAGCAGATATCCCTAATTTATGGAATGTTTACATTTAAGGAATTTAAGGAAATGTTTACAACAACATTCTCCTTTTGTTGGCTGAAATTAAAAAGAAAACATATTATATACATAAAACATGTTTCATACTATTAAACATACTTGTTTTACATCTTCACTGAATTACAAACATTCTGAAAGCTTTTGTTTACAGCTGTTCTCCTGGCAGGGTTAACATACTGTAGATTACGAGTGACAAATATATGTGAATTCAGCTCTAGGCTCTCTTTATGGTTTAATTATGCTTATTTTGCTCTTATTTACCCCTGATTACGTTAACAATTTTACAGTGTTTTAGGCTTCTTCCCATGTTAAAGAAACATCTGATCCACAGAAAAATATACCAATTCTACATTATTCAACTACATGATGTAGTTGATCTGTAGAACACCAAAAGTAAATTTATAGCCACTGTTGAGCTAATTAAGGCTCATAACTTGTTTTGTTCTCTGCCCTCATTTTTAAATGATTATAAACAAGCCATTAATTCTATATTTAAATGACTACTTTATCTGGATAGCATTCAAAGCAGTCGTCAAGCTTCTACACTCTGTTTTGTTCATAATTCTTAAATGTTCAGAAAACTATTGCACAATATATTAAACATAATGGGAATCCTGTGTAATATCTCAAATACAGAACAGAAAGTGCTGATTTTGTGTTAGCTTTTACTCTTTCCTTTATTTGCTGTTGTCCTTAATGTTTTGAATCTAGTGCATTTTTCTGTATAGATCAATTCTGCTTGATATATGCTATAAATGTCAAAAATAATGCTTTTTTATTGTTCTAATTTTATTTCTCTTGTGATATTCCATGGCCTGAGAATTAGGGATATTTGGAAGTAAAACGGAAAGTAGTCAAGGGCAGCAGCTGTAAGATTAAAAAACATCTAAAAATATTTAAAGGAAAATTATTGCGCACACATAAAAAATGTAGAAAAGAGCACTTGGCTATTTTTTTCTTAGACACAAAACCATAATAGTTTTATAAACTGCATCATGTGTAACTGAGAAGGACTATATTATTCTGTAGGAATCTGTGAGCGGAAATATGCAATTAGGAGAAGTACTTTACTTTAATAGTTGTCATATTTGTAAAGAATTATTCTGACTTTGCTGGGAAAAGTTAGAATTGCTGTCTTACATAAAACCAAAAATGATTTTTGTAAAGAAATAAATGATGAACATAAGAAGATTCTTTTTCACTATGTATAGCCTTTGCTATCAAAATGTTCCCCTACGTGTGCTAAACAGATACTGTACGATGGACAGAAAATCTTCATCACTTATATACTGTAGTAAGAGGATACTTTGTATTTAATCTAAAACCAGATCCTGTGGGTTTGCTATACTAGAGTTACAACGGAGGGCACATGTACTCTACGTACTGTACATACTGTAGAATAGTACATACACTTTTGTCCTACTCACCTTTTTGTGTTCCATGATATGTAAATATGTAATTTTACTCAAATGAGATATTTTGGGAATATTGTACAATGAACAGTATGTGTAAGCAATGTGTTTGTTCTGGCAAACCTTTAAAACAGATATTAACAGCTGCTTTCCAAATCATTAATATAATCCCTTTAACTTTAAAAGGTGTGCTCTTGCTCATGCAAAACTACTGTACATTACTGTAAATTACTACAGGACTACAAAGACCAGATTGACTTAGATCCAAATAACTCACACTTTGGTTACAAAAGACAGTTTAAAAAAGTAATGGTGAAAGTTATTGGAAAGTAAATGGAAATTGGTTATTATGATTTGTTATTATATAAATGATGGAACACTAAATATTTCAGGTTACATGTCCAGGTACATTACGCATATAAAAAGCAGTGGTCAGGGCTTTTTCAAACACAGAACCACATGTTGAGCTGTTCTAAAAATCTGTAAAACACTGCCCTCTTGCTGATCAGAGGAAAACAAGACCAACATTTCTGAGACAACGAGCGTGATTTCCAAATGTTTTTTTCATTTTCTTAATATAAGTTTCACATAATATTAGTTTCTGATAAATATTAAACAACGCTGTTTTACTCATTTTATTTTAGTTTCTGATAATTACTTTAGGGACAAACTGGAAAATTATCAATTTTAATAATAGTTTTAATCACGCCTATTAAGATAAATGCTGCTTTATTTTTTAAGCGTGATCAGAATAAGTTGTTTTCTTCAAATTATACTGTATATAAGAAGAGTTGAGACAGAGACTGCACAAATTTAACAAATGATTTAGTAAACTGACAATTTTAAAACATTCTCAGACACCATTACCCAGATTAAATCAGGATATTAACCCAACCGCCAGTAATATGAGTTAATGTTACAAGTCAAACACAAAAAACACAGTCTTGTATTCAGTGTGTAATTTCTCTAAGAACAACCAGAAAAGGCACTCACACAAGTACAGACTGATCCCTATGAACCAGGTGTCATGTGTTTGAGCCTGGGTCAAGTCACTAATCGGGTGTTTGCAGGTTTTCTCAAACGATGACGTACATTATAATTGACTTTTGCAGAGACTCATGTAACATTAGTCAGCCAGGACTCTTGGCTAATAGCAACATACAGTAGCAACACCTGCAGCCTCCTTAGTGCTCGCAGGCTTATGCCTCTGGCACAGCACCTCTGGTACAAGGCTGTGATGCATCTGCCTACACTTCCTCATTCTCCTGTGCACAATCACTGGGATCATAACCATGAGCCAGGACATGAAGAACACATAATTGGGGATTCTAAATTATAGGGTATAAGAAAAATAATTGGCAATTCTGTTTAAGAAAAAGAAATTGTCAGTTTCTCTATGGCCCTACAATGATCTGGCACCCCAGTCATGTCCTTAGTCTCACCTTGTAGCTAATGGTTCTGGGATATGCTCTGGGGATAGGTTACCCTCACCAGGACAAACAGATTTCCGATGATGGATTGATGAATGGAAAGTGATAAGGCATGCTAACTGTAGCAAGAACTGTTTAAATAGGAATGCTTAACTTAGTATTCACTGTCCCATTTATTGTAAAAAAAACACCATGAATATGATATTCAGTGCCTGTGGTGAAAGACAAAATAAATGAATAAATGAACAAAATAAATTTACTTTTGTAACTTAGATCACATGATATTTAGCAATACTACACAGAATGAGACAATGATAATGTCTATCTATTTCCCTTAAAGGCATTCCCAAGCTATTTATATAATATTCTATATACAGTATATATCAAAATTACAAAATATTTTTTATACAGTATATATTGTAAATTTTGGTAATCAAATCTGTTTACACAGATACAGTACAATGCTTTCAATACTGAAAGCATTACAATAAAATCAATGATAGTATACTACTTCTGGAAAAAGGCATATTCCTCAAAAATAGTTTTTTTAGACAAACCTCATGTACTGTCTGAAACCAGCAATTTAAACCATCAAGACCGTTTGACAAATATTCAGCTTCAGTGGATGTTTGTACAGTATAATAAATCCAGCTCAACAAATATCTGACAGGCTTATCCAAGTTTATTAATGATATGTATTAATATATGCAATACTGTATATATTTGTAGTCACTGTACACAAATTAAATACATTTTTCTGTATCTACTGATCACTTCTATAATATGCCATTGTATCCAAGCAACAATGACAACAAATACCCAGAAAGAAAGTTCAATCACATTTTATCACAAAGTGGGAAGCAGTCTATCTGAATATAATGCCAACAGCTTCAATATACATTGCTGATCAGGTACATATATTGTAAACAAGCTGCACAAAAAGGCCGCTTAGGAGAACGTAAAGAGAAGAATGGATTTACATGAATATTCAATTAACATTTTAAAAAAGAAAACACAGGATAATGACACTATAGTGTTTTGAATTTGAAATGAAGTGTATTAATTACACATAAAATAACTCCAATACGAATTTCTTCAGCTAGTGTACACATAATTGAACATACTGCAAATGGACTCTGATACAAGCTACAAAGTCTTTGTAGACTAAGATTTAGAGTGAACAAACATTACAGTACATTGTATTGGTTCAATGTGCTGACTTAGCTGTTGAAAGCATAACATGGAAAATGGTGATCTTTTATGTTAATCTTTATGCTGATTTTATGTTATGAACCAAAGACAATGATTACTAAAAATGTTGGTCTATGAAGTGTCTTAGTCAGCAATCTCTGTTCTTATGTAACCAGGAATGAGCAATCATTGACTGAAAGATTAAAATCTTCTTTCAGGAAAAAGGCTACCTCATGCAGAAGGAAACTTAAGATACATCTTTTACTTTTCCAGCATATGGTTTGGCCCCATGATGCATTGGCTACATTTCCAACCATTTTTTTCACATTTTCCCATAGACAAACACATCTGATATTATCAATGCCAGTTTCATTGAAAATTAATACACAGCAACAGCAAAATGCCAACCTTTGACATTAAATTACTCTTTCTCATTGATCGACGAAGAGAGTTCTACAATAATACCGTAAGTATATGTAAACAATGATTTACTACTCAAGCTGTACAGCTTGAATTACTCATTCTAAGATGTGTGAAGGTGGCTTGAAAAGAAAGGCCTATAATACATAAACTGATACTGATTTTTACATTGTCAGGAGAAATACACTGTACTGTATCTCCTGAAGCTTCACCTTGCACATGAAAATACACTTATCGAAAACAAAAAACAACACATAAAAGAATGTTACCAACCTGAGTTTTATTCCTTTTGGTCCAAGGTAATAAGCAATCTGAGACTAGAGATGACACTGTAGAAGAAAACAATTCTGGAAAAGGATTTGGAATTGAAGCAGACAGCATTTCCTCGCCCTCCTTACTTTTCCTGTTTCAAGAAAACAACTGTATCATAAATCATGTCATTGAATTTGTTTTGCAGTACTAATAAAAAGTCGAGCAGTACATTGTTAATTTTAGAAAAGTTTAAAAAAAGAGGATAAAAAAGTCAGTGTTGTCATTTTTAACGCAACTGACAACTGTTTGGCTGAGTTCCCAAAGCCTTACGGCATGGCGGGCATGTCTCTCTTTTTCCGCAAATCTATCATAGACATTAAATTTAAGATGTAATTCGTATTCTACACACTGTGGTTTTAAGATAAGGTACTGTTTCTTAACATGTCATTATATCCTTTAGGGAGAATGCGCATTCAGAAAAGATTTAACCCACTTTCTAACATATGACTAGTAAGTAAGTTATACGATGGAAAATGTTATCTCTGTAATTTTAGACACACTGTACTGTATATACAGTAATGTAATAATGTTAACAAAGTACTTTTAAATCATTCATGTTTCTGACCTGATAAATAAACCCTTAGTTTCATATTGGTCCCATTAGAGAAAGGTGATAGTGCCTTCTCCTGCTAAACACCTAGTCTGTGGAATACTCTTTTCTGTGAAATCAGGAATTCTGAATCTGTCTTAAGATTTTCTTGTTCAAAGTGGCATTCTTAAAGAATTTATGATGCATAGGTTCCATTGTACTGTATAATTATCTTTTCTGATTCCTTTTGTTTATACAGTAGTTGGATTTTTTTTCTGATGTACATTATCTTGTACACATATGTTCTGAGGCTTTTTTGCCTCATAAATTGAAATATAAAGAAAATAAAACAGAACTAATAAAAACAACAATAATTACTGTACCTTGCAACACCATCAACCTTTCCTGAAAATATTGACTGTAAAATCAAATGTAAGGACGTAAAGTAGATTTCAAGAACCTTTCCTTTGGAAATTGACTCATAAATCATTGTACTAGATAAAGTTGATTGAATAAAACACACTATACTTTTTACAAAACGTCTCCTAAATCAAATAGCTTTTGAAAAGCAATCTTTGTGGTATCTTTCTTTAGTTTTCAAATAAAACATGAATACAAAAATACCAAACAGACAAAGCTAGAAATAATTCAAGCTACCTATATAAATGGTATACGCCTGTTGGGTTGTTGATACTGCTTAATGTATACAAAGATTTGCACAATTTCTATATGATGGGATATTTAGTGTCATCCATGTTATCTGCAAGTACTCTGACTAAGAACAGCGGATCTGAAAGAATAAAGGGTTAATTTCTGCTGCCACATCAGTATGTTAACAGACCTTCCAGTCTTCTACCCAGAGTAATTAATGATGCAGAATCAGACATGAACAAATAATATGATCATATAATAAGGCTTTTATTTCAAAATGATAATAAAACTTGATAAGATTCTGTTTAGCTAATCAGTCCTGTATTAGTTTCATTTTAGAGAGGATTGTAGTTTTAAACACCACCTTATTTACAGTTAGTAACAAGAACACAGCTGTGTCCATGAGAATGAAGTTGGGATTGACAGAGCACAACTGCATTACTGACAGAATACAGTAAGAATGTTTTTAATAGCATTGTATGTGGGAAAGTTACACCTGCCCTAATAAAAGCTACTTGATATTTTTGGCAAGAAAATAAATGCATAAAAGCTGAACATAACTTGTATATTCTAAAGTTGATCAATATTTTAAGCATGCCAAAAGTAGTGCCACAATGAGATAACTTCACTGCTCCGTAAATACAAATGTTACTAAGTAACTAATTATATTCAGGAAAGTAACAGGTGGTAGAATTCAATAAGATTCTTTGTTTGTGCTGTCAAAATGTACGAAATGGACTTACTAACCTCTTTATTCTTTAATCTACATTATTTGCCACTTGTATTTACAAGTACAAATTCTATTGCCTATTCTACTGAGAACACAATAAAGTTAGTATCCTGCTATTAGAGTGCACATTAAAAGCACTCACTGATCACAGAAGTTAAAAATTAGCTTGCCTTTTAAAAGGTTGCATGCTGAAAACTGTAAAAAATGTATCTTATTCTGCAAGAGCACAATTCAAAACCAATGCAAGCGATACAGAAAAAAAAAATCTATGATTATACATTTATATTAAACCAGTCATACCTAATCCCCTTGAAAAGAGCTGCCTTATTTTGTAGAGCATTTGATGGTGGTAAGGATGCACGCAGAGGTATCAACGATGGGCTGGAAAAACGACTTGCATTACTCCTGTCATGTTGAAAAATAGCTGTTTTTTCTCCCAGGTTTCCAGAAGTTTGTAAGTCTTCTACTGTATTACTCATATCACTCATGGAGATGGCTATATCCAAGGCATCGTTTAAACGAGAAAGAGCAGAATTCCTATTGACGCAAAGTATCTACAGAGCACTCTGTTAACACATTGGGCTCCTCTGCCCTCTGCACGCAGCTTAACCTCAGCGCTTCATATGCTGCTAGCCTGCAACAGCACGATAAATGATCCCTCCTACCAAAACATGATCCACCACAATAAAGTTATTTTTAAAGTGATGACTCCTAAGTCGGTCTTCGTTGCATTTACACAGTAGCACATTAAATTCCAAAAATTTGTTTTGTCATTGCAGTCTTGGCTGACTTCTTTTTTTTTTTCTTCAAACACTACCTGAAGTAAATGCTGCACAAAGCAACTTATACAAAAGGTTCTTCATTGCCGGTATGCAACTTAGTCTTGTAATGAGATCTGGCACACTTCCAGACTGTAAACCAACTGTTTCTTTGTCATGGACTTTGCACTGAGTTCCTAATTGTACTTTAAACTCAGCACTATTCGGAAACTATATTCAAGCACAGAGTTTAAAATGCAGCTATTTTTCATACGTGTGCATATATATAGTATTTGAAAATGTGATTTTACATTAAAGTAAGCATTCTAATGAAGTCAGCTTTTTTTCAAGTAGGGCTGAACTGAACCAGTTTTTGACTATTAAGTCAAAGACTGTCATAAATTACATACAGATGAGATTTTCAATTTCTGGTTTTAAAACATTTATCTGTTCTGCAGAAATTTCAATAAGCCTTGAAGTTCTTCTGGCAACAGTGCAATAATGGAAAACGCTGTCTTCATTGTTAGTGATTAAACACAAATCATAATTTAGGTATAATTGACTAAATAACTCTGAAGATAATGTAATTCTTCCAAAGCTATTTTATATCAATCTCCATGTAAACGTGGATTTTTTACATACAAATGTACAGTAAATATGCAGAGATATGCATGGACAATAGCAATACATAACACAGGTCAGTGAGATCACTGGAATCCTTCAGGCATTGTGTAGTGTGCTCCTGGTGAGCAATATTGCTACCACACTTGCCACTATAGTGTCATCTGTGTACTGTCATTGACCATAGGAAAGCTCCCCATTTGGTGTATTTGAAATTACACTGCTCCTTGAAGCAGTTTTCACTACAGTTGTTTAAAGAGTCCAGTAAGGTTATGATCCACCTTATTTTACAACATGGTTTGACCACTCTTTTTTAAAGAATATGAAATATACACACTATATTCCAGTTTATTACAAGAGTATATTATAGATTTCTTAATCACATAAAAAATGAACTAATTTGACTTTAATCTTCCTGTTCAGAAAAGCTGTTGTGGTTTTAATATAACCAAAATGTTCTTCTTAATTTAATCCACACTTTACTTTAATCAAATGTATACATACATCTGTACTATAAAGAGGTACCGAATATGAAATTTGAATTAAATTTTAGAGTGTTGCACTTTGGTGATGTCAGAAGACAACTGTCTTTCTGGAATTCCTAAGTTATGAATATTCATTTATCTCTTATTGATACAGGTATACCAAGGTTCCAAAAAAAATACTCAGTGTTTTAAATAAAAAAAAAACATCCCCTCTTGTCATTCAACTTGATCACTTCAAAATGTGTCTTTTCTACACATTGCTCTAATTTCTCAGGACAAAATCAGATTAGAACATAAGAAGAGTTAAAACAATGAAAGGCCATTTGATCCAAGTACCTCATCCAACCATTTCTTGAGAGAAGCCTGGGTATTGGTTTCAACAATACAGCTGGGTAAAGTATTCCATAATCTCTCAGCCCTCCGAATAAAGAAGAGCCTCCTGTTCTCAGGTTTAAATTCACTTCCACATAGTTTCCACTTGTGTCTCATGATTCATGCTCCACTGTTCATGCTGAGGAAGGCTGCAGGACTCACTTAATCAATGCCCCTGGGGATTTTGAAATGCCATTGAGATTCAAGAAGAAATGATTTAGTACCTATTGGCAATATCTTTTCTAGAACATGGTGACCGAAATTGTACACAATGTTCTTAACAAAACCTTACAAGTGTTTTATACAATTTTAACATCCATTTGAATTCCTTTTTAATCACTTCAATTGTAAGCAAATGATGTTTCAATATTAACAGCCAAGTCATTTTCAAAATTAGCCTCTTCTGTGTTAGCACTTCCTATTCTGTATTTATGTTTTATTTTGGATTGATGTTTATATCTTTGCTACCTGAATGTAAAAGCCCACACTTGCCTATATTAAATGTCACCTGCTGCATGTTTGCCAAGTCTTTTTGAAATGTATTTGTGGTTTCTACAGTGTTTCCCAATCCTCATAATTTGGTATTGTCTGCACATTTGACTAAGTTACTAAGAATCTACTGTATATCATCCATATAAAGTAGGAAGAGCAGTGGTCCTAGTACAGTGCAGTAATTACATATCTCCAATTGGAGCATTCGGATTTAAATTTAGCGTGTTGGATTTATAGAACATGGGGACTGAAGTGATCCTATAACTACAATGTGATTTCATTACAAGAAAAGAGGAAGGCAAAATTAACCTCTCTAACAGCCATGTTGAATTTTAACATTGTCACTCAGCCCAATATTTTTGCATTTGCTTTGCCAAGATGTGCTTTTAAAACTATGTTATGCCAAGCTTTATCACAGTTTATATAATGTTGCATGACCACTCCCTGTACACAGGACTTCACAATGATATTACCACGGTTTTATGGTGCTTTCCTTCACTTTATTGTGTTCCGTGTTGCACTATTCCACAGGACTCATTTATTAGGGATGAAATGGCATCCCATAAAACATATACATGTACACTGAATATTCATAAATCATCCCTGTGGATTTATAACAACAATAATTGTTGATATTTGCATAATTCCTAACAAACATGTGCTAATAGTAATGAAATATACCCTAAGGCTTTTTCAGGTTTTTAATAAAATAGACTTTATTGGCAGAATTTACAAGAGATGATTATCAAGCAAATATCCAGCCCCATTCAGACAACTCTACACCTACTTCATACAGCATTTCATTCTAATACTTATGCTTCACAGAATTCTTTTAGAAGGTATATTTGATTCCCTTCTTCTGCAAAAATGTAGTATATGCCCATAGACTTGGACTGCACGAAAGCTCTGAGATATCTCAATGTCTGCAATAGGACGTTCTTGCAGGAAGTTAATTCTTTGAGAGAATCAAAGTCAAAGGAATGATAGTTGGGAAGCAAGCAAAGAAGAGAGAAGAAGTTGTAACCAGCTCCTATGAGCCATGAGAAAATACTTGACCTTCTGGAGAACTCTGCAGCTAAATTATTCCCGGTGCGCAGATTCACTGTAACAATGAAACAGCTTTTTTCAGTTTAGATTTGTTAAAGTTACACCTGATAATTGAATGGAAATCAGCCTCGTCAGTGTTATCTGTTGGTGTGTGCCCCATTCATGTGCTTGCAGAGGAAGACAGTCCAGATAATGCCATTCTAGGAGGTTCACATTACCCATTCATTTGGACAACATTATATGAAAGACACTGTTAGCAGTTGGCCAAGACTACTAACAGAAAAGTGTTAGGACAGAAAAAATGGAAGTGGTTAAAATTATTAATCCAAAATTGTTTGAGGGACTAAAATTGTCATGTATGAGTCTATTATAAAAAAGCAATGTTTTATTTATTTTTTGTAAACAAATCTACCATTTTGTTCAATCTAACAACCATACTAAAACGACGGACAAGGACATTCTGCTAGAACAGCATGACTTGTCCAAAAATAGATTGGCCTGAAATGCATTCTTCTGGTATCAGTCAAAGTAAATGCTTTCTAATTACATTAGTATAAGATGAGAGCCAAAGCTATTTTTGTAACAGCTGTGTCAGTACTACCTCATCTTATTTAGCCACTATGACAAGCAATATGGAATGACAAAAGAACAATAAACCACAGTTCTCCACCAGCTCATTCTGTGTAAAGCTGAATGGATATGCTGGAGTGGTTTTATAGAAAGGGAGGTCAGATTATGAGTGGAGTTCAGTGTACACAATCGTGCACAGTAAATTTCATAATCTTTTTAATGTGTTACTCTACACATTCCTAAAATAGTTATAAAGGTGATAATTCTGTAAATCATTTTGTGAGATCAAAATACTGAAAATTATATATTTAATATACAGTAGTATGCAGGCATTCAGTCTAAACATTTTAAGACTTAGACAAATAATTCTGTCACACACAATGTGCAATTTTTAAACAGTCAAACTATCCAAAAAGAAGGATTCTACACATTTGGTCCTGAGGTTTTTAGGTCTTTCAACAAAGCAGGACAGGTAGTTTGTTTTTCAGGATCTCACTAATTACATTTTTTTTCCGGATTTTTGGCTAAAGTACAGAAGAAAATAAATAATTCAAGCTTTAGCATATACACTTTGAAATTATATTTTGAACTAAAGAAATGGCACACAGAAGATGCACGCCCCTCTTTTAGACTATCAACCTGGAAATAAATCAGATCGAGTGCCCACCACGTCTGCACTAATCATGCCTCACCATATGAGGTCGCTCCTCTCAAAGCTGTCACCACCCTCCTTAAGTCACATTGTGTTTTTATTCTCGGGGAGCTGACTGCAAATTCTCCCTTTCCCAGCTATGCTCACCTTGTAAGACTGTCTACAGATGATTGTTCCAAAGGTGATGAAAATCTTGCACCGCATTGACTCCTTATCAAGAAACTCAACAAGAATATCCAAGACTCTTCTCATTATTTGTAATACTTAGTGTTCTTTGGTTAGACTATGGCATTTTCCAAAACACACTTTGGAAAGCATATTATGACATCTGCATTTACGTGCATATTTTACTATGAAGGTACATATGTTGCTTTACATAGGTTCAGTATTTCTTCTATGCTAAATTTTCATGGGTAGTCACACACTACTTAGGGAACCCACTAACATTGAAAAACATTTATTCTTAAAGGAAATCATCTTAATACAGGAATGCAGATACAACTGTTATCTAAACTTTAAAATATTGTATTTTTCTGTTCTGAATATCCAATTTATTTTTTATCATACAAACAGTACTTTTTTCCTATGCATATAAAAATATGTTCCTCAAGATTAGAAGACAAAACCACTTGAAGTGATAAACAATGTCAGTAATCAATTGCATTTGCTGGGTTTTAAATAAAAAATACAGTAGTCAGTAGGTGAACTTTGACAGAAATGATTAACTCATACAGTACTATGGTCTACAACATTACATCGATCAATTTTTTCTCCCGAACCAAATTTATTCTTAATTTTTCCAGAACCAAACAAAAACAAAACAGCTCATCTCAACACACTTCTTCTCC